ATGCATCAACTTCGCCATGAGTACGCTACACGCCTCTTCCCATTCTCCTCTCCCTTACTGACTCATCGGCCTTGCCAGTGTCATTCGCCATGCTCACTCTGTACCTGTCTCGTCGTGACCAACGCCGCGCAGCCAAGGCAAGGGTGAGCACTGTGTCGAGCGAAGCCTCAGAGGACATCGCTTTGGAGGATGAGAGCGACCCGGACATCAAGAAGAGCAAGGCCGTACAAATTGCGGAGGTCGTCGACGTCCCTGTTCTAGCGTCGGAGTACCGTTGTGCGACTACGATGATTTGACGAAGGGAATTCGGCGATACCTATCGCCGCATGATAACCCACCGTAGCCCTGTAATCTCCTGTAATGTATTTGCCTGCGCGTTCGTCGTGGCGAATCGGAAATGCAACTCGGTGACATCGAGTTGAGGAAGACCGTCAGAGTCATTGTTGGGATACAGCTAGGACATGGTAGTAATCGGAGTTTACCACAGATACATATCGCGCGCTCGCTAATTTATTGCAACTTGCTTACCGCCGCTGTGACCACACCTCCTCCTACCTCCTCTTGCTTTGTGCATCCACTTCGATGTATTGTTGACGATCTTGCTTCACAATCTAAGGCAATTTGCATCATGAGTGCGGCATTGGACCTCATCTTGCTCTTGGCTGGCTTGAGCTATGTCTCGCTCGCGCCATACACCAAGGTTGAAGAAAGCTTTAACTTGCACGCAACACACGATGTGCTCATGTATGGCGTTGGCCGCGAGGACCTTCACAAAGTGCGCTCAGCGTTCCCTGTGCTTTAAGAGCCCACCCTGATTGCTGGCTATCCGCCGCTTAATTCGCACCGTCTATACTTGCTCCGCTGAAGTAGTATGACCACTTCACCTTCCCCGGGGCGGTTCCTAGGACGTTTGTTGGGAGCATCGCTCTGGCATGGGCGACGCAGCTATGCGTACGGATGGGATCGTGGTTTGGAATATTCTCGGACAAGTTCGACTTGCAGGTCATCGGTGAGTCCCCAGTCAGTCTCAGTCCCTCAGCCCGCATGTTCCGTCCCCATGCATGCTCAGTGGACTCCTTGTAGCGCGTATGGTCCTTGCTAGTGCGAATGCCGTAGGACTCTGTCTACTCCGCCGTGCTGTCTCGAGGCGGTTCGGAAGGCCGACGGCAGTGATGTTCGTCCTCCTCACATGTACGCAGTTCCACTTGTTGTTCTGGATGGGAAGGACACTTCCAAACATGTACGCCCTCCTACCTGGTATGTGCACTATACCAAGGTCATGCTGGCCGTATCTCAAACCCCCTTCGTTCGCAGCAAACATCGCCCTCTACCTCCTCATTGATCGCGCGCCGAACTCAACTCGCCCGTCCAAGTCCAGCGTACACTGGTCAATATCACTACTGACGTTCGCCGCTGTCGTCTTTCGCTCTGAGCTGCTCCTCCTCCTTGGACCTCTCGTAGCGCAAGCAATTCTGCGGCATACCACCTTGTATGACATCATCAAAGTCGGACTAATATCCGGCACACTGTCTGCAGGTCCGTCTCTGTTCATTCCGACGACTAGAGCCCCCGTCTGATGCGGTATTACATAGCTTTGACTGTGCTTGTGGACTCTTACTTCTGGCAGCAATGGCCTCTGTGGCCCGAGCTGTACGGGATCTACTTCAACGTCTTCCAGGGAAAGAGCGCTGAGTGGGGTGTGCGTGTGTCGTCGCATCTCCGCAAGTTCTACACTCACTACCCGACAGACATCGCCGCCCCATGCATACTTCACCTCTTTCCTTCCGAAGTTACTGCTGTCATCTCTGCCCCTTTCGGCCCTCGGCTGCCTCTTGGACTCCAGGATTCGCTCTCTTCTATTGCCGTACCTCGCGTTTGTGGCTCTCATCAGCGGACTCGCTCACAAGGAGTGGCGTTTCGTCATCTACGTCGTACCAGCATTCAACATCGCCGCTGCGCGCGGCGCCGTATGGTTGTAAGAACCCCGCCTCGCCCATGTTCTCCTCGCTCACGTTCGCACACAGGACGAGTCGGAGGAAGGGCACTCTGCTCGGAAGACTATCTTTCCTTACAGTTGCGGTCATGCTCGCAGGAAACTGCGTTGCGACATTCCTCCTCGCGAGGTCGTCCTTCGCGAATTATCCTGGCGGCACCGCGTTGTACGCGTTCAATCACATCTTCGAATCGGAGGAACACGGTATGGTCATCGTTCAGTCGGCAGCTAGACGGATTGACCGATCTCCACTGGCAGTGCACGTCCACATATCCAACTTGGCCGCTCAAACGGGCGCGTCGCTGTTCCTCCACAGCCATGCGCCGCCATTCCACCCAGTCCTCAACGGCACGCATCCCGTTAGTTGGATCTATGACAAGACGGAGAACCTATCCTTCGACGACCTCACTCGGGCCCAAGAGATCACGCATCTGATCGCCGAGACAGCGTCCATACCGCCGTCTGCGACCAGCGCGTGGGCGCCCGTGGCCATCGTCGATGGCTTTGACGGGTGGAAGCTCAACCGCGATGTGAAGAGCGCATTTCAGGAAGGCTTGTTTGAGGGTCTGAAGGAACTGACGCACGTCCTCGAAATGAAGAGAAGCGAGAAGCTAGTCATCTTGAAGCGCAGGACGTAAGTAGTGTTGGTCGTTCGCCGATCATGCAGAAGGCGGAAGTGCGTCTATGAGTTACGGCCAATAACCTTGTACTTGTACTTCGTACTTCACCGTGATCTCGATTGTTCATCCGCCGAATGCTCTATGGATGATCAGCCGAACGTCAGTATTTTGAAAAAGATATTATGATTCGTGAAGTTGGGTCAACTTCACAAAAAGGGCCTAACCGGGAATTGAACCCGGGACCTCCTCCAAATTGCGGTACCAGAGCTAGCACCCTAAGAAGGAATCATACTACTAGACCATCAGGCCTTAGGAATGGGCAGTACATTACTTTACCTATGCCTATTGCGTATCATCAAATGTGCACACGGATGATCCTGGCTGCACTGTGACTGAGTATGTGGTATGATTCTCACTCAGGCTGCCATCTGAACTGCTCGAGCTCTTCATCGCGTCCCCGGGTCCACATTTGAACGTTCATTGTGTGGCCATAACTCGATCTAACGGCTTGACATGTGAACTGTGCTCGTCTGGTGTAGTGGTCCTCGTGCAAGAGAACATCTACGGACGAGGATTCCATAGTAAGTATCTCTATCGTCCTCTCTTGCCGATTGATTTCGTCCCCGTCCTGCTCACCGTCGTCGAGGCCGACACTTATGATCCTGACTTGTCGCGGGAGAACGTAAGCATGGTCGACAGTCTTGTGAAATATAGGGCGTCGCATGGATCACCTGGTGCCACCCGTAGCCACCAGTTATGTAACTCTGCGCTCGAGGCTCTTCCCTGCCAGTGCCATGCACTACGTACACGCTCTCATTCGAAGTTCTCTGCGGCAACCTATAAATCTACCTCCGTCTGAACTTCTCGCAACACGCCTATCACGCAGAGCAACAGGTTCACCATGGTACGAGTTCTGACTGAGATGGACTACTCCGAGGAGGTGCCGCACTCCGACCATCTTGTCATTCGTGGTACTGAACCCTTCAACGCTGAACCTACCGCCGCTGCTCTTGTTGAGTTCCCTGTCACTCCGGAAGACTTGGTCTACTGTCGGAACCATGGACCCGTCCTCGATCTCGACGACTCGACGTACGCGATCGAGGTGCACGGCCCACAGGGGTCGCGGGTGTTCAGCGTGGAGGAACTCCGAGAGTCCTTTCCTCGCGTAGAGGTTGTTGCGGCGCTGCAGGTATGTTCAATCGCTTACGCGTCCCCGCATGGTGTTCATGCTTTTGGCATGCAGTGCGCCGGCAACAGGCGCAAGGAGATGGACGAGAAGAAAGCCGTACACGGCATCCTATGGCACGATGGCGTCGTCGCGAACTGCAGGTGGGCGGGGCTCCGCTTGCGCGACCTTCTGCAGACTGTTGGCGTCGACGCCACCGCGCTCAATGGCTGGCACGTCTGCTTCACTTCCCACGTAACGCCATGCCAGGATGACAAGGACTACGGCGGATCTATACCACTCGCTGATGCTATGGACCTCCAGGGGGACGTTCTGCTCGCCTACGATGTGAGTCGGCCGCTGCTACCCTGCCGGGCGCGCCGTATGCTGACGTCGTACGCGAGGAATAGATGAACGGACAGCCACTTTCGCCCGATCATGGGTACCCACTGAGAGTCGTCGCACCCGGATTCCTCGGAGCCCGTTGGGTCAAGTGGGTCGACACCATCTCGATATCGCCCGACGAGTCTCCCAACTTCTACCAACAACTTGACTACAAGGTCCTCCCAGAAGAGGTACGTCTGGCCACGCTCGTCGCTCCTCTCGCATGCGCTCATGTACTGTGTCATGGCCGTCAGGTTGACACCAAAGAGAAGGCCGCGCCCGTCTGGTCCAAGGTTCCCTCTCTCACCACCCTCCCCATCAACTCCGTGGTCGCGTCCGTCTCGCGTCGCAGCCCGTCTTCCATCCTCGCCAAGGGCTACGCGATTGGACGTGGCGACGTCCAGGTCGCGCGCGTCGAGGTGTCGATTGACGACGGCTCGACGTGGCACGAGGCGAAGATGACGTATCAGGAGGGCAAATGGAGCTGGACGCTTTGGGAGGCACTCCTCGACGACGTCCCAAACGAGGGCGTCGTGTACAGCCGCGCTATCGACCTGAATGGCGACCGCCAAGAACGGGAGGGGAAGTGGAATATGCGCGGGGTCGCGTACAACCCGTGGGGACGCAGGAAGTGGTGACTTTCGGAGTTCCGGCATGCCTGCGTAGCATGCCAAATACCGGTTGGGTTCGTGGATACGCCAGGAACGTAGATGCGATAACGTCTGACCGTGTCGTCATGGTGCTTCGGTATATATCGCCGCATTGGAGCCTAAGCTTATTATCATTGCCGGTGTTCAGTTTGAAGGGCGTCCGAGCCGCGGAATAGTATGCACCTTCGAAGCTGAAGTTCATGTGCTCGCAGTATGTGGACTATCTCACGACCTGTGGAGTTGTTCGACCTCGTCTTGTCACCATGGTTGACAACGTTGACATGTCGGCAGCCGTCGAAACGCAAACGTTCCTCCGAGTCGGAGAGAAGATGCGGGCCTCGGAAGCACGAAGCTCACTGCGCGCCAGCCATTCCGAATACGAAGCTGCAGACCATGGTGGTAATTCCGAATACGAAGCCTCCTCAGCATGCGAGTGGGAACGCGCTGCCTCCTACAGTGATATGCTTACTGAGTGAGCTCGTGAAGACCGCGCAGTTGCTGTCACGAGAACTCGAACGGAGGGGGAGAAGTCAAAGATACTCATCGATAGTAGACTTGACGCACGCTTCGGACATGTTTCAAGGATCAGTGGAGACATCCCCCAACAGCTGACCTCGCCGGCGAGCTCGGATCTGTACAGCTGCAGTACTGGCACCTGGTGTCTTGTGCGCGGTCTCCCCGAGTACGCGTCATCCTCTAGTTCCTCCCGGGCCTTCCTACATCACGGATTCGCGGAAGGTAATTTGGCAGCGAACCAACTCAGCACCTAGAATTGTGACCGTAGAATCTAGATGCAGGACATCGCGGCGTTGATATGAGATAGTTCACAATCCGAAATTCACTGGCTCACCTCCATACCTCATCACCTATAGCAGTTTCACCGTTGAGAGTGCCATCATTCATGGTGGCGCCTCACCGAGAGACGAAACAGCTAATTCACTGTTCCATTGGGTGGAAACTCCTGCTTTACATCATTCTGAGCAAGAGATAATTTAGTATCAGTCCTATCTATCACAGTAAAGAGAACTCTGCACCTCAGAACTGGTCCAAGTCGATGTCATGGTGATGCAGCGGAGAGCCCATGTGAACCAATCGGGAGACCGTCAAGGTTTGAGAAGTACTGGTGGGTCGTCACGCCACGCTTCCGGTGCGTACATGAAAGGCTCGACTTCCATGTGCCATTTCATATTCCATGCTTGAGTGTAGTACCGCACAATGATCGAAGGCGGTCACTCCTGCGGGAGTCCTTCAGTTGAATATCTTGCCGTCGTGGCGTCGTCTTGGGGTCGTGATTGTGCTACATATAGGATAACCACAGTACTAGTGATCGGTGTTCGATAACCAATTCGTGACGAAGTGTGGCTGCTGAGAGGCTCCCGACGGCGGATGCCGGATTACCTAAGTATAGCGTTTCACTCAGAGATTTGGCACTGGACGAGCCCTCCTCCTACTTCGATCATCCTATGATACAACAAGTTCGTATGTCCGTAACCTCAGAGCTCGCTAATGACTGGTGACTTCGAAGACGCGAAGGATGCGGGGAGGGGAGAGTAAGTATCTTGTTGGGAGTCGAAGCGGAACATTGGTCGGACCGGCACGTCCCAGTCTCTGTCACTATTCAGGTGAGGACATACCAGCAATATCGTTGTCTCGGTATCTTGACACTCAGACCAGGTCGCAGATATTTTTTACCGCAGAGCCTGGATCAATATCGCTCGCGTGCACTCAACGATGTGGAATGCAGGTCTGCCATCCTAGCATACGGTCAAGATTGATGCGCTGCATGGTGTTTGCGAAATGTAGGCCCTGGATGACTGACGAGTAGTTCGAGCTACATACTACAGCAGAGCATAAGAGCAGTCATCATACGGTGGAAAACGGTACTCGACTTCCCTTCCCCGCTCCCGCAATGGTCCATGCCAGCCGACTCGTAGTGGGGACATGCGCCCTCTCTCTTGCTACACTCGCCCAAGCTGCGTTTGATATGTCACGGTCGGATAACGTGAGCACTTCGACAACTTCTAGTACTCGCCACCACTGATGACACCCTCCGCAGGTTGTCGTGTGAGTGGATGTGGCGTCCATTGGAGTGCAGTCTCACCTACATATGCGCCGCCGTGACCAGCTACTGGGGATCGAGTGGCAATAATGGTCCCACGCTTGAGGAGCACTGCGTACGTCCTTCGCATTCCTGCCAGCTGATTACTTACCAACGTTGAGAATCGTCGCAGCTCACGACGAACGCCGACACGATCCCCATCACGTTTGTCGACCATGTGGACGGTGGTTTCAGCCATGACGTTAGTGCTTGCTGTCAATCTCACTCATGATGTTGCTCTATACTAAGCATATATCTCCTTAGTCCTGTAGCACGCAGGGGTGCGAGCATGACGCGAAGACCTGCCAGAAGCAGGGCAAGATGTTGACGATATCCATTGGCGGTGCCGATGGCAAAATAACATTTTCCTCCGCAGAGCAAGCGAAAGATTTTGGAGAAAAGATATATAACACGTTCCTAGGCGGGGATGCCCATGAGCGTCCTTTCGGGTCCGTTGTGCTTGACGGGTACGTTACTGCCCACTGGACACTTGTCCATTGCACACTGATATTTTCGGAACTCTAGGATTGACCTCGACATCGAGCAAGGCAACACAAAGTACTACATCGACATGGTACAGACTATTCTGAGCAAGAACGATGACCACAAGTACTATGTCACCGGTGCGCCGCAATGTTACGGACCTCCCGACGAGTACCTTGAAGAGTGAGTGAACAAACTCAGTTATGCATCTTCGCCGCTTATATGGATACAGGGCATTGCGGCAGGTGCCTTTCGATGCTATCTATGTGCAATTCTGTCAGTTTCGAGAGGACAGCGCCAGACAGTAGCGACTTCCACTAAGACGCTACTATAGATAACAATGAACCCTGTCAACTGGATCCCAATCATGACAAGCTAAACTTCGGTTCTTGGTACGAGAATGGGCACCGCTTGACCTATGAAACTAACTTATCTACCCCAGGAAAAGTTGGATGGAAGCGAACGCTGCTAAGAAGGACACAAAGATCTATATCGGTGCAATGGCCGACCGCACCTCCACCGATACGGG